CAGCCAAATGTTTGCTTGGAAGAAACACTCCCTCTCTCTTGCTGCTCTTGTTCTCAGACTGCACAGAATTCTACAGAACTTTCTATCCAACATTATTTGATGCATGTAGCTCTCCTGTCCTATCCTTCAGATCCAATTGGTTTCTTTGCAAGTATAATTTCACATTGCGCAAACTGCGGGTAACTCCTGATTCCTCTGGGCCACTAAACGAACAGCCCACAAAGCATCAGAATGCAAGGAATTTCTGGCTCTCACTGGAAGTTCAGTGCAACCAGATGGGAACCTAATTCCCTTGTCACTTTAGTACACAATAGTTTTTCTCTTTAATGCTAATAGTGAACCATTCGCCTTCTCCCTAATATCTACCTTGCAGTTCGTTACTGTCATAGGTGCATCTGGTATTCTCAATCAGGGTCTTAAAGATTAAATTGAGAAAGAAATACAACAAAAAGGAAGAGCAAACACTTCGGCTATGTCTAGACTGGCATGATTTTCCGGAAATGCTTTTAATGGAAAGAGCATCTAGATTGGTATGGACGCTTTTCTGCAAAAGCACTTTTTGTGGAAAAGCGTCCGTGCCAATCTAGACGTGCTTTTCCACAAAAAATCCCTGATCGCCATTTTCATGATCAGGGCTTTTCTGTGGAAAACAAATCTCAGCTGTCTACACTGGCCCTTTTGCGCAAAAGTGTTGCGCAAAAGGACTTTTGCCCGAACGGGAGCAGCATAGTATTTCCGCAAAAACACTGACAATCTTACATGAGATAATCAGTGCTTTTGAGGAAACTCAAGCGGACAGTGTAGACAGCTGGCAAGTTTTTTGGGAAAAGTGGCTGATTTTCCGGAAAAACTGGCCAGTCTAGACACAGCCTTCAAGAGTACCATGTTCCAGGATTATAAACACAAAGAATCTAAACCTGAAGCCTCTACTTTCTCTTAATTAAGGCAAACCTTCCACAGAAGTTCATGACATGAAACTGGTAAATGGAGCCCAAGCTCCTTGAATGGGGAAAAGTAAAATATACTTATGTGTAGGAAATACAAATTTCTGCAAAAGGTACCATGTGCAGAGGTTCTGTTCTGGAGAAACAAGGGAGTGTTTTCACCCTGGAAATATCTCACAGTGAAATGAAGCAGCATACTAGAGAAGCCAGCTGCTATTCAATATGAGGAAACACATTAAAATGTGGTACCTCATATTAAGGAACTATGTGCTAAATATCAATGTTTCTAGATGGTTGGGAGAGAGGAACAATGCATTTTTCAAAGGGAACTTTGGGCAGAATGCTGATAACCCTTCAGACTTTTACAGAACCTTCCTCCAAGTGTATTACAGCACTTTACAAATACATTTAAAAAATCACCCCTGAGAAAAAACCCTGCATGCGGTGAGTTCAGTGTGTGTCTCCCTTTACCCGACGGGTAAGTGACTAACTCAGGGTCCGAAAGGGAGGATGTGGCAGAGACAGGAATAGCTGCTTCTGATTCCAATTCCCAAGCCTGTGCCTTTACCCTGAGGAGATCTGCCATCTCAGACAATACCCCTGCTCCCAGGGCTTGTGAGAGATGGGATCTGTTACACTGTCAGGAACAGGAATTTCTGATATTCGGAACAGGCAGGCTCTGGTTTGTCCATTCTAACAGGGGATCTCATTGTCTTGCAGGGCAGCCAAAGGCATCTCCTACCGTGAACCTCTTCCCTCCATCCTCGGAGGAGCTGCAAACCAAGAACAAAGCCACCCTGGTGTGTCTGCTGGGCAGCTTCTACCCCGGCTCCGTCCAAGTGACCTGGAAAGCTGATGGCCAGCAGATCTCCACAGGAGTGGAGACCACCAGGCCGTCCAAGCAGAGCGACAACAAGTACATGGCCAGCAGTTACCTGTCTCTGGATGCATCCAAGTGGACGTCCCATGAGACCTACACCTGTCAGGTGACACACGATGGCAAGACCCTGGAGAGGTCCCTGAAGCGATCGGAGTGTTCGTAACCCTCTGACCCCAGGGGGCGCAGCCGGTGCCCACGTCAGCCCGTCGGGGGCTCCCAGAGGAGACGGGATCTCCTAGCGTGGCCATGATGCTGATTTCCAGCAAATCTCCTTCCTCTTCTGCGGGTGGGATTCTATTGATCCACACGACACCTGTCTTTGTTCCCTGTTCCCCTCTGCTTCCACCTCCGGCAATCCCTGGCCAGTCCCCCTGCTTTAGTCTCCCATGCAGCCTTGTTATGTCATTAATAAAACCAAAACATTCGACTATCGCTGTGTGTGGGGAGCTTCACTTCTTGTGTCCCTTTTGCACCTGGTGTGTTCACTGCAAGAGTCACCTCGTCAGCCAGCCAGACAAACTCCCCTTCCCGCAGCCAACATGGATTTCTGTCCCGTGAGGGTCTCACTTGTGGTGTCTCACACAGGCTGATGACAGACTCCCCTTCCCGCAGCCAACATGGATTTCTGTCCAGTGAGGGTCTCACTTGTGGCGTCTCACACAGGCTGATGAGAAGTAACACCAAGCGACGTGCCATAGCATGGAGATCGGGGGAGGGGGAGCCATTTCCTAGGCCAGGACTTTTCTCCCCTAACATGGGTCCCTCTGGTTCTTGCCAGCCCCTTGGGGTGACAACTGCTGTGGCACAAATCTCTGCACAGCGCACACAGTGTCAGGGGATTGCTGGGCGAGATTGGGCTGCACGAGAGCAGGATGCAAACCCCCGGGGGCTTCAGCCAAACCAGCTTGGACTGGCACCCTGGCAGCTCCCAACAGCACCGCAGGGCTAGCTAGGGCCATGCTCACATGGGTCACCAGTACTGCCCAGAGCAGTGAGCTCCGTGAGGTGATGTTCAGTTTCCCTCCAGCCTCCCATGGAGCAGATTCCAGCCCCTGCTTCCCCCCAAGCATTAGTCATTCTTCAAGGAGCCACACTGGAACCACTGGGGCTATTCATTAAACTGCTCAGGACCCAGAGGAATCAGTGTCCCATGGACCCATGCACAGAGGGCGCTACAGTGCCGATGGCTGTTACTTCATCTGGGATGTAACCAGAGCTCCTGACCACATCTGGTCAGCACAGACTCAAACCTCTATTGGGAAGAGTGGCCTTTAATATCCTACAGATGTCAGCTTGGGACACTGCTCTCTCCTTAATGACTGGCACTAGTAGCTGATTCGCTGTACGTGAAAATCTGCCTGAATTAGCTAGTGCTCTGGCCATCATGTGACAGCTGCTGCGATACAGCCAGAGGGGAAGCAGTGAACCTCATGTCCACTTAGACTGTCAGAGTAAACGTGCAAAGTGTTTGGGGGTCTCCAAATGAAAGATATTTTTCACATGGAACCAGACTGTGACAGATGAGCTAGATTCTCTGGGATCACTTGGGCCCCAGTGAGTTCTGCCCTGCAGCACAGTCTGGCCTTGACAGACCAGAGCAAGGGTGAGTGTCCCATTAAAAACCCATTGGCTTCCTTGGGCGATCCATTATCAGCTGGGTCTCTCACCTTTCCTCAGGGACTCCCGGAGCTGTGCTGGGCCAGTCAAAGGACACCTTTAAAAACTGGCTCCCATGCAGCCAAGAGTTCAGGGAGAAAAGGGGATACACTTGTGTCACACAGGCCAATTATATATAAAATACCACCAATCTTATACCCCCTACAGTAGCAGTGCCATATATACAAGGATGGATGGAGGGATGGGTGGATGGAGGGTTGGATCGACTGACGGATGGATGGCAAGTCATAAGGACACCTTTAAAAACTGGCTCCCATGCAGCCAAGAGTTCAGGGAGAAAAGGGGATACACTTGTGTCACACAGGCCAATTATATATAAAATACCACCAATCTTATACCCCCTACAGTAGCAGTGCCATATATACAAGGATGGATGGAGGGATGGGTGGATGGAGGGTTGGATCGACTGACGGATGGATGGCAAGTCATGCGGTGCCACCTCCTAGAGAAGAGACTAGGAGGAAGATGAGTAGTGAGGCTGCCCTGTGGATGAGGGTTAAGGACTGATGGTTTCTCCAAATACATTTCTTCACCATCCTCGTAGCAGGGCTGGGTGCTAGCTCTTCACGCTCCCTTGTTGACAAAAAGGCTCCATGTGCATTGGTTGGCCCTGTGGCCTTACAAATCGACCTGCAGGGCGTCAGATGGACTGAAAACCTACGTGAAGCGAAGGGGGAGTTTCCAAGGTAACGAACGCCACTAAAGGTCAACGCTCAACTCACAGTCAATAGGAATTAATGCTGAGGGTCTAAATGTAAAAGGAACCAAAATGAATGGGGATTGGGCAGCTGGGGGCTTCTGAAAATCCCACCAGGCCCCCACCTCTATAGTCAGGTGCTTGAAAACACTCTGGCCCCAAGTGCTAACGTCACTTCTGGGAACGGGACGTGGCCTCCCACTGCCCAGGGGATTAGCGCAGGGTCCGAGCCAGAACCACTGCAGTCACAGGCGCTTCCCCACCAGCTCCAGCAAGAGCCGCATCAAGCCTCACACACAGCCCATGACTATTGGGGCAGAGGCAGCCCACCGACGAGGACATTAAGCTGGTGCCATTCACACCCCAGGCCGGCCTGTGCGGAGACACCACCGGCGCTAAGGGGGGTTGGTATTGACAGTCAGAGGGAGGGTCCAGGGCCCTGGCTTCATTCATAAGAAGCCAGCTGAGCATGGACACAGCTCACAGCCTAGACGTTCACTGGCCCGGCCTGTGCTGAGAGGACCTCACACGCCACACACTGCTGGGCAGCAGGCCCCAGAGCTGCTCCCCTACGGGCAGGGGCAGGGACCAGCCCAGCCATGGTGGGAGTCTCACGTCAGCTCTGCTCAGGGAGACAGCGCAGGGATTCCCTGCTGCACCCGCTGCTCAGCGCGCAGCCGATGGCCGTGGCTGCTGGCACAATGGGAATTCTGAAGGCAAGTGGGGGCTCCCGTGAGGAACGTGCTGGCCTGGCTGCACCTGGGACATCGATACCAGTGTCACCTTTTATTGCTACTAACAGGAGCAGGTTCCAACACAGGCCAGATGCGGGACCGTGGCTCCCAGAGGGACTGCCAGGGGCACCTGAGTCCCACTCTCAGCTGGGGTCCTAGCCGCGGACGGTGGGGATTGGCTTCACGGCACATGGACCAGGAGCACCATTTCTCGGCTCCTCAGGCTGTGCGGGGATTTCACCAGCCGAGAGTGAGACAGGACACGACGATGCAGCTTCTTCAGGAGCAGAGCAACCCCTCCCCCACGGACTGTCTGGGGACCGGATCCTGTAAGGTAGGACCAGGCTTCAGGAGACGATGTCGTTTTTCACTGACAGGTGCAGGTTCCTCTGCCTGCCTGAGACATGAGCACAGCACGTGGTGCCGTTTCCTTTCCCCTCGCGTGCAGGGCCCAGCGTGGCAGAGCGGTGTCTTTGCTGACACTTGTTAGCGTGGCACTAGGACAGTTTTCACACTGACTCTGCTCTTAGAGATGCCAGCGCTCCCCCAGCCCGCTCTGCAGGCACGAGCTTCACACACATGCTTAGCGCCAGCGTGACACCTGCTACTGGATACAAACAGGCCTAATTCTCTTCTGGTGTAATTCCCACAAGCCACTGGAATTGCCCCTGGGTCGCCCATGGCTCAGCATGTTCGTTCTCAGCATCCCGAACTATTCTGTCAGCCCCCCTAGCTAAGGGATCTGTGAGGACAATGGGCAATGGATGAACCAAAAGCATAGCAGGCCCAGCTCAACGGATTCTCCACATCCCTTCTGCCACCTGCACCAGGCGAGTCGGGGCTCAATGGGCTTCGCCCACAACAGCAGAGACAGGCTGGAGTTACCTGTTTTTGTTTGTGCTGGGGAAACACAGGAGCACTGGAACCCAGTGTAATAGCAGCTGACTAGCGCATAGACCATTGTCTTCTATCTTGGTAAGTTTATGACCCCTAGCACTGCCATTCCCGAGCCTCTCACAGCTATAGAGCAATTTATCCTTCCAGCATCCCTGCGGAGAGAGAACTATTGTCTCCATTTTACAGATGGAGAACAGAGATAGAGGGATGATGTGACTTTGTCAAGGGCACAAAGTTAGTCTCTGGCAGAGCCTGGACTTGCACCCTTGTTTCCTGACTCCCATACCTTTACAGTCAGAACGAGAACATCTTCTGCTCCCTGACACATCAGCTCTCCCAAGAAACACATTAACTGAAGATACTTTGGGAGGTGAAGCAATTTATTCTACTATAACCTTCTCCAGGATGAACCTTCTTTCATGGAAAGCCAGCAGAAGCTTTTCTACATCTGTGTTCCCAACATGGTCTGTGGAGGACCTAACACTGATTATGGTCCTAGAGGCACCAGCCCTCACACAGAGGCGTGCTACAGACATGTGCTTTGAACATGACAGGTTTTTGTACAGCCATGTGTCACTGTGGAATGTCTTCGGAGGAGGAACCCAGCTGACCGTCCTTGGTAAGTCACTCAGTTATTCAACACCTTTCCTTGCCTAGTCTTACAGTAATAGTTCCATGATTTTTGTCTCCTTTTCTCTCTTGGTGCCTAACTCTGGTCTCCCTCTCTTTTCATGCACGCACCTTCACACAGTGTTAAGAACAATGTTTAGCTCAGGGATACTCAGAACAGGCTACACTTTCCCAGAGCATATAGTTTTCTATTTTCCATATGGACAGGTGTTTCAATTTCCCAATTAAACCTACCTAGAATGTGCTGTAAGGGCCATATTTCTACATAACCACTTTTCACCTCTTCAGGGAAATATTTCCCTGGGCCCCGTTGGTTTTCCTGTCTTTGTTTTCTGGTTGCTTTGGTTGTAGGGATTAGAACTTTATTATAAGTTCTGGGTTTTGAAGGGCTGGCAGACTCAGCGCTCAATGTAGAGGATGCTGGCTGGACCAGCAACCTTCAGTTACAGCGAAACCTTGGGGAGCAGGCAGATCTGGGCTAGCCAGCACTCAGCAATTCAAGGCTGACTCTGCCAGCTCACCCAGCATTGTTTCTCCCTGTGGCCTATGGAAAGTGTAAACTAACCACAGCCCAAGCTGCTCAGACCCTACTCGTGCGAGTGGCACCTTGCCCTGCAACGGCAGGACCAACCACTTGGGGAGGGACGTGCGACCTGCAGCGAGGAAGAGTTTCTCACATTGGGCCCAGGGATCTAGAGCTTCAAAGTTTGAGGCATTTGAAAACCCCTGATGCGCCCATTCCTGACCCAGTGGGTCCTTTCTTCTCCCACATCTCCGAGCAATAACAGAGACAAACACCAGGCTCAGGAATCACCTCAGAGCTCACGGTGAAATCTGGCCATGTCCCTTTTCCCCTTGTCTTGGACACTGCTCCAGCAAATCTCTGACACAGACTGGCTCCAGCTTGTAGGTCCCAGAACATTTCAGCAACAGCAGTGTCTGGCTGGTAACACAGTGCAATAAAAGGCTGTTTCCCAACCAGGTGTTATGCAGAATATCCACCCTTAGCAAAAATTCTTACAGCACGTGACAGACAATGATAGCTCCTCTACGGATTGATTGACTTGCTTCAGCAGCAGCATCAACAGCAATGGGTTTAACACCATTGGTGTGCAATGCCTCCCTCACTATGTCCTTCCATCTTTCCCTGTCTGGTGCGGAGTGGCTTAGTTTCTGTAGACTAGCTCTGTCCATATCCTGTGGGCTCTGCCTCTCAGACCAACCATTATACCAAATAACAAGGTCTTAGCTTTTCTCTTGTCGCTCATTCTGCAGATACGCCCGAATAGCTGTAACTTTCCTTGTATAACCTTCTGCAATAGGTTCTCTTTCACCTGTATCTTCCTGTATAATTCCTCATTGGAGACCTTCTGCATCCATCCTATTCTCAGGATCTTTCTATAACAACTCCTCTCAAACGTCAATATCCTTCTCTTCGAATCTTTCCCCATCGCCCATATATCACACCTGTACAACATGCTGCTAACTACTTACGTTTTCAAGATGCTCAACTTCGTTCCTAAGCTAATCACTTTACTTTTCCAGATCTTATCCATCGCCTTCAAACTCGCTTGTTTTCGCTATTCTAGTCGCTATTTCCTCACACAGTTTTATATCTTGAAACTTCATGCATTCCATCCAATGCCATGGACTGCTCCGCAAGAGCTCTCTCGCTCTGACAGTTCTGTACCTTTTGCTGAAGCTTCCAGATAATGCTACCAAGTGTCTAGACCCACATTTCCATACTCGGGTCCTTTTCCTTCCTTTGTCATTTCCTTCTACAGGAGATTTCCACAAAGGAAAATGTGGGTTACACCAGATTCCTCTGTGCACTCTGCAGTGGCTGCTGCTGCTCTCCCACACATATTACACTCTAAGGCTATGTCCTCACCACACCCCAATAGTTTAGCTGAACGCAGTGTACTTATTGTGGTATCTTCCACCCCAGAAGGCCAGCAGCGCCCGCTCTCCCACTGACTCTGGCTACTCTTCACATCCTGGTGGAGTAACAGAGTCAACAGGGAGCGTTCAGACCTTGAGTCACCGTCTAGTGTAGACAAGCCTTAAGTAAAAATTGGACCCTAAGAAATGACCCCAAGGACTTGTCTCTTTATCTCCAGCACTGCCCCCCTTACAGGCCCCAAGCTGTTATTGGTGTCAGTGGGACCAAGGAACAGAGGATCCAGCCGTCACTGACAAAAGGGACAGAAAGGAAGAGTAGCGTGATATTATCCCCTTTCACAGGCACAGAGACAGCTACTCACTCAGCCAGTCAGCAGCAGCATCAACAGCAATGGGTTTAACACCATTGGTGTGCAATGCCTCCCTCACTATGTCCTTCCATCTTTCCCTGTCTGGTGCGGAGTGGCTTAGTTTCTGTAGACTAGCTCTGTCCATATCCTGTGGGCTCTGCCTCTCAGACCAACCATTATACCAAATAACAAGGTCTTAGCTTTTCTCTTGTCGCTCATTCTGCAGATACGCCCGAATAGCTGTAACTTTCCTTGTATAACCTTCTGCAATAGGTTCTCTTTCACCTGTATCTTCCTGTATAATTCCTCATTGGAGACCTTCTGCATCCATCCTATTCTCAGGATCTTTCTATAACAACTCCTCTCAAACGTCAATATCCTTCTCTTCGAATCTTTCCCCATCGCCCATATATCACACCTGTACAACATGCTGCTAACTACTTACGTTTTCAAGATGCTCAACTTCGTTCCTAAGCTAATCACTTTACTTTTCCAGATCTTATCCATCGCCTTCAAACTCGCTTGTTTTCGCTATTCTAGTCGCTATTTCCTCACACAGTTTTATATCTTGAAACTTCATGCATTCCATCCAATGCCATGGACTGCTCCGCAAGAGCTCTCTCGCTCTGACAGTTCTGTACCTTTTGCTGAAGCTTCCAGATAATGCTACCAAGTGTCTAGACCCACATTTCCATACTCGGGTCCTTTTCCTTCCTTTGTCATTTCCTTCTACAGGAGATTTCCACAAAGGAAAATGTGGGTTACACCAGATTCCTCTGTGCACTCTGCAGTGGCTGCTGCTGCTCTCCCACACATATTACACTCTAAGGCTATGTCCTCACCACACCCCAATAGTTTAGCTGAACGCAGTGTACTTATTGTGGTATCTTCCACCCCAGAAGGCCAGCAGCGCCCGCTCTCCCACTGACTCTGGCTACTCTTCACATCCTGGTGGAGTAACAGAGTCAACAGGGAGCGTTCAGACCTTGAGTCACCGTCTAGTGTAGACAAGCCTTAAGTAAAAATTGGACCCTAAGAAATGACCCCAAGGACTTGTCTCTTTATCTCCAGCACTGCCCCCCTTACAGGCCCCAAGCTGTTATTGGTGTCAGTGGGACCAAGGAACAGAGGATCCAGCCGTCACTGACAAAAGGGACAGAAAGGAAGAGTAGCGTGATATTATCCCCTTTCACAGGCACAGAGACAGCTACTCACTCAGCCAGGGTCCCAAAGGGAGACTGTGACAGAGACAGGAATAAATCTGTCTGATCCTGAGTCCCAAGCTTCTGCCTTCATCCTGAGGAGATCTCCCGTCTCAGACTATTCCTCTGCTCCCAGGGCTTGTGAGAGATGGGATCTGTTACACTGGCAGGAACAGGAAATTCTGATATTCGGAACGAGCAGGCTCTGGTTTGTCCATTCTAATAGGGGATCTCATTGTCTTTCAGGGCAGCCAAAGGCATCTCCTACCGTGCACCTCTTCCCTCCATCCTCGGAGGAGCTGCAAACCAAGAACAAAGCCACCCTGGTGTGTCTGCTGGGCAGCTTCTACCCCGGCTCCGTCCAAGTGACCTGGAAAGCTGATGGCAAGCAGATCTCCACGGGAGTGGAGACCACCAAGCCTTCCAAGCAGAGCGACAACAAGTACATGGCCAGCAGTTACCTGTCTCTGGATGCATCCAAGTGGACGTCCCATGATACCTACACCTGTCAGGTGACACACGATGGCAAGACCCTGGAGAGGTCCCTGAAGCGATCGGAGTGTTCGTAACCCTCTGACCCTAGGGGGCGCAGCCGGTGCCCACGTCAGCCCGTCGGGGGCTCCCAGAGGAGACGGGATCTCCTAGCGTGGCCATGATGCTGATTTCCAGCAAGTCTCCTTCCTCTTCTGGGGGGTGGGATTATGTTGATCCACTCGACACCTGTCTTTGTTCCCAGTTCCCCTCTGCTCCCACCCCCGGCAATCCCTGGCCAGTCCCCCCTGCTGTAGTCTCCCATGCAGCCTTGTTATGTCATTAATAAAACCAAAACATTCGACTATCGCTGTGTGTGGGGAGCTTCACTTCTTGTGTCCCTTTTGCACCTGGTGTGTTCACTGCAAGAGTCACCTCGTCAGCCAGCCAGACAAACTCCCCTTCCCGCAGCCAACATGGATTTCTGTCCAGTGAGGGTCTCATTGTGGCATATTACACAGGCTGATGAGAAGTGACGCTAAGCAATGTGAGAGCAGGATGCAAACCTCCAGGGTCTATAGCCAGCTTGCGAAGCACTGAAGGGCTAGGCTGGGGCCATGCTCACACGGGTCACCAGCTCTGCTGAGAGCAGTGTGCTCTGTCAGTCGGTGTTCAGTCACCCTCTGGCCTCCCATGGGGCAGATTCCAGCCTCTGCTTTCCCCTGAGCATTAGTCATTCTTCAGGGATCCACACTGGGGCCAGCTGGGCTATTTCCTCAACAGGTCAGCACCCAGGGGAATCAGTGTCCAAACGGGTCCATGTAGGGAGGGTGCCGCAGTAATGATGGCTGTTATCTGGGGTGGGCTGTAACCAGAGCTCCTGGCCATGTCTGATCAGTACAGATCCAGATCCCTCTTGGGAAGAGTGGCCTGTGATATCCTACAGACATCAGCTTGGGACACTGCTCTCTACTTGCAACAGGCCCTTGCAGCTGGTTCAGCTGTAGGTGGAAATGTGCCTGAATTAGCTAGTGTCAGCTGCTGCGTTACAACCAGAGGGGAAGCAGTGACCCTAATGCCAGTTTGACAAGTAGAGGAAGTGTATAAAGTGCTTTAGAGCCTGAACATTCAATACACTCTTCAAAAATATGCATCCAGCTGTGCCAGCCACTGACTCTTGTAAAGCCATGAGGAGAAGGATGTAAAATGCCATATTTGTGTCTCATATACCACATATTTCTCAGACTTCACCCTGCTGCTACCACTCACAATATGAGTAACATGGATACATGGTTAATTGGCCCGTCCTGCACTGCAACCTCCTATAGAAGGAAATAAGGGGATATCAGAGCAGAGAAAGGATGCAATATGGCTGAGTTTTATACAATGAGGGTATTTTTAAAACCTTCTCATAAGGTACTTTAACACCCACTGTCCTTCCCTCCCAGCTCATGCACCACTCACCAAATGGGAGATAAGAATTCTATATTATGGTTTGTGAAACCCAAAAGGGCAAAGAGCTACAACTCTTAGGATCTCAGAGAGTCAGTTGCCACTAGAACCCATTGCTGTACTCAGATTTTAAATAGTACCTCATTGAGGAAGAGGTGTAGAAAGAGATTAACGTCCTTTCTTCAATGACTATTGGTTCTCTTCCCTTGCAAATGGGAACTGAAGTAGATAAACGTATGGGCTGTAAACCTACATTAAGAATTTGGGGTCTTTGACACAAGGATCTCAGAGAGTCAGTTGCCACTAGAACCCATTGCTGTACTCAGATTTTAAATAGTACCTCATTGAGGAAGAGGTGTAGAAAGAGATTAACGTCCTTTCTTCAATGACTATTGGTTCTCTTCCCTTGCAAATGGGAACTGAAGTAGATAAACGTATGGGCTGTAAACCTACATTAAGAATTTGGGGTCTTTGACACAGTGAATAACTCCACTAAAAATCCATTCCCAACTGAAATCCATAAGAAATAGGCTACTAAGCATTACAGAATCCGAGGGCTGGAAGAGACCTCAGGACGTTGTGAAGTCCAGCCCCTTGCCCAAAGCAGGACCAATCCCAAGTAATTCATCCAAGCCAGGGCTTTATCAAGCTGAGACTTAAAAACTCCTAGGGATGGAGATTCCACCACCTCCCTAGATAACCCATTCCAGTGCTTCACCACCCTCCTAGGGAAATAGTTTTTCCTAATATCCAACCTAGACATCCAAAATGCAATTTGAGACCATTGCTCCTCATTTTGTCACCTGTCACCCCTGAGAACAGTCTCTCTCCATCCTCTTTGGAACCTCCCTTCAGGAAGTTGAAGGCTGCTATCAAATCCCCCCTCACTCTTCTCTTCTGCAGACTAAATAAGCCCAAATCTCTGAGCTTTTCCTCATAGGTCATGTGATCCAGCCCCCTAATCATTCTCGTTGCCCCCTGCTGGACACTCTCCAGTGCATCCACATCCTTGCTATAGTAGGGGTCCCAGAACTGGACTCAGTACTCCACATGTGGCCTCACTAGAGCCAAATAAAGGGAAATATTCACTCCATTAGACCTGCAGGCAATGCTCCTCCTAATGCAACCTAATATTCCATTCGCCATCTTGGCTACAAGGACACACAGTTGACTCCAATATAAAAGGCATTAGAATGAACAGGAGTTTGGCATCTGGGTGATTTTCAAAGTCCCAATAGGCTCCTGCCTTTATATTTTGGAGATTAAATACCTGGGACAGTTGGAGTCCAAATGCTCACGTCACTTTTCTACAATGGCATTTAGGCCCGTTTGGTACTGGCTCAGATTTCCCCTCCACTGCCCAGGGGACTCTCCAGCCTTCCACAAACCTTGGGCAGGGACACCACTCCTACCCCCTGGCTAATACCACTCCATTGGCCCAACCTCCATGACTTGATCTCACTTCCCTAAATGTAAAAGGCACCAAAATGAATGGGGGTCTGGCAGTTGGGGGCTTCTGAAAATCCCACCAGGCCCCCACCTCTATAGTCAGGTGCTTGAAAACACTCTGGCCCCAAGTGCTAACGTCACTTCTGGGAACGGGACGTGGCCTCCCACTGCCCAGGGGATTAGCGCAGGGTCCGAGCCAGAACCACTGCAGTCACAGGCGCTTCCCCACCAGCTCCAGCAAGAGCCGCATCAAGCCTCACACACAGCCCATGACTATTGGGGCAGAGGCAACCCACCGACGAGGACATTAAGCCGGTGCCATTCGCGCCCCAGGCCGGCCTGTGCGGAGACACCACCGGCGCTAAGGGGGGTTGGTATTGACAGTCAGAGGGAGGGTCCAGGGCCCTGGCTTCATTCATAAGAAGCCAGCTGAGCATGGACACAGCTCACAGCCTAGACGTTCACTGGCCCGGCCTGTGCTGAGAGGGCCTCACACGCCACACGCTGCTGGGCAGCAGGCCCCAGTGCTGCTCCCCTACGGGCAGGGGCAGGGACCAGCCCAGCGACGGTGGGAGTCTCACGTCAGCTCTGCTCAGGGAGACAGCGCAGGGATTCCCTGCTGCACCCGCTGCTCAGCGCGCAGCCGATGGCCGTGGCTGCTGGCACAATGGGAATTCTGAAGGCAATTGGGGGCTCCCGTGAGGAACGTGCCGGCCTGGCTACATACAGGGCACTGGTGTCAATACAGAGCATGTCTGCTCAGCCAGAGCTGCCTCCGGTTGGTCCCAGCGGGGTCTGGAGCATTCCAAGCAGATGCCGGCTGTGTGCTGGGCACGGCTCTCCCAAGCATCTTCACTGGCTTCTGGCTTCCCCTGTTGCCAGCCCCCAGTCTCCTGCTGGGGTCAGACAGAGCAGGGCGGAGGCTGCTTTCATGGCACATGGATCTTCAGCCATTGCTCAGACGTGTCCAATGGGCAATTTCCTCAGCATCCAGCACAGTTCAGTTGAGAGGATGTGATGATGCAGCTTTTGACAGAACGGCCATGCCCAGCGACTCCGCACAACCCCTGCCCCCGTGGACTTTCCGAGGCTCCTGAGCAGGTATGTTAGGACATGGTGGGAGGGGATGCCTTAGCTCCTCATGGGCAGGTGTAGAGAGGCTGCGCAATTCGGAGAGTGGATGCGGAGGGCACGTGGTTTGAATAATGTCAGGTCTATGTGCAATCCCTGCCATGTCTGATGTGTCCCTCACTGACACTTATGGGGGGCTCACAAGTGCATGTTGTTTATTAATTACATCTGGAATGAAGATGTGCTCAGGTCTCAGGGCTATGGATGCATGCTAAGCATAGTTGTTGTATCGATAACATAAATGCCTCCAGTCAGTAGAGACAGCTAATGCCCATCATTCTTTCCTGACATAATTCCACTGAAGACAATCCAAATGTAACTGCCATGAATTTGAGAAGAAGGTAATGGTGGAACATAACTCAATAGCACAGCACAGAACTGCTTTGATCTAGATACGTTTCTGCCCTCTACCACTGTAGTGCTTAATCTCTCATGTCTCTGAGACACTCTACAATTTCTCCTGACCCTGTGAGGCCAGAAAGAGATGCCCCCATTGTATAGATCAGGAACTGAGACACTGAGATGAAGTGACCTGGCCAAGGACACAAAGTCAGTGGCTGAGCCAAGACCTGAACCCCGTTTTCCAGACTGACAGGTCAGTGTCTTCCTGACAAGACCATCTTCTCTTCTCTTATGTGAGCTGCATGCGGGGACCAACATTTGGCCTTAGAGTGAGTTCTCCCAAGGAACGCTCCATCGCTTCACCTCCCAGTGGCTCTTCACTCATCCCATTGCACGAGTTTCTCCACTACGGAGATGCCTGCACACCGATGAAGAATTACTGGAAATTGAGCTGCACCTATTTTCTCCTTCCGCCAAGCACTGGTGGAGATTCCTTCCTGCCAACAACTGAGACTGGTTTTTGTACAGCTGTGTGTCACTGTGGTGGGTCTTCGGTGGAGGAACCCAGCTGACCGTCCTTGGTAAGTCACTGCATTATTCACAAACTTTCCTTCTCCTGCCTGCATTGTAAGTTTTCCATGATTTTTTCCCTTTCTCTCTCTTCATGTTGGGCTCCCCATTCCTCTCACTTTACAGAACCTTCCCATTGTACTGGGAATAAGCTTTAGTCTCCTCCCATGCCGGATTTTCTTTTCTTTAGCAAATGAACAGAATTTTGAATTTCCCCATTAAATCTAGTGATAGAAATGTAGCCGTGTTAGTCTGGTGTAGGTGAAACAAAAAACAGGACTATGCAGCACTTTAAAGACTAACAAGATGGTTTATTAGGTGATGAGCTTTCGTGGGCCAGATGGCCCACGAAAGCTCAGCACCTAATAAACCATCTTGTTAG